CACTCCAGTCTGGGTGACAGAGTGAGACTCCAACTCAAAAAAAAAAAAAAGAAATCCTGTATAATCAAACTCCCCATTCTCTCAATGTCCTCTCACCCTCCTCTCCCCAAGGTTTTTTCAGTTTGTCCATCCCCCCAAACTTCCTCCAGCCTCAGGGCCCTTTGTGCTTGCCATTGCTTCTGCCCAGATTACTTTTCCCCCCCCCAGTAGCCGTCTGACATAAATCTCCCCTTAGGTTGGGTTTTCACTCCAATGTCACCTATGGGACAGGCCTTGTTCCAGACTCCAGAACATCCCTGGGTCTCTTAGCACTCACAACCATCAAGTGTGGTACCCAGTCACTAGACCACCTGCAATAACTGGGTCCTCTGCTGTATCACCAGCACCTGCGAGGTGCCTGCTGGTACATACTCACTGCATGTAGAATGCGTGAGTCATCCCAATTATGACTACACAGAGGTCTTTTTTACCTAGTTACCACCCTCTCCCAGTTGGAAGCGGCACCAGGCAGGGGCGACGGCTGTTATACTCACCAACGCCCACTCAGCATCAAGCACTCTGCCTGGGCTGTCAGAAGCACCCAGGAAACAGTAGTTCATTGACTGAGTCAATGAGAGAGAGGGAGAGAGATGAGGAAGGGAGAGGAGGAAGGAGCTCAGGCGAGGAGGAAAGGAGGAAGAGAAAAGGAACCACAGAAAAGAGTAACGTTCTGATGTTGCACTTTCTGAAATAGGGGATCCGAGCCCCCAGATACCTACAAGATAGTTGTAGGTCTTTTACAGTTTTTTACAGAATGGTTTATGCTAACTAATGATGGCAAGTGATGCTAACTTTTCATCTATAATAGGGATGTAAAATTTCTCTGTAAAATACATATAATCAGATAAATATTGAGAGTCTTGTTAAAAGAATAAGAAAAGAATGATACAGTGCGTACTTGAATTTGGCAAATCTCATGAAGGTGGCATGAGAACTTCTGGACTCTGGGGCATTCTGGTGGGTGAAAGAAGAAAGAAGCCAGGGCTGGAAGTCAAACCTCAGCCCAGCAGGGTGACTTTGGGCAAGATGGTTACTTAATGTCCCTGCACCTCAGCTTTCACAGGTTTCAAAACGGGACAGGTAATATCTTTTCCTTGATACAAGTATTGCTATACTGTAGAAATGGCTGTGTTGAGAAAGTATCAAGCACTGCCACCTGAGAGGGGGATTATTCATAGGGGCAGGGACAGTCTATTTCATGTCTAAATCTAGCACGACTGCATAGACCTCGAGTGGATCAAATCTTTTCTGCCTGGCTATTCAGCCGCAGTGTCCTCTCTCCCTCCCTCCCTTCCTCTCTGTTCCCTATCCCAGGCCCTGATGGAGACAGGCCACAGCGGGTGAACGGGGAAGGCGTGGAGGTGGTAGAGGTGATGAAAGTGCAGAGGGCTGGCTCTGCAGCTTCTGAAACGCTGGACGACCCAGATAGACCCAACACTCCATCTCAGCCCCTCTCCCACCAGAAGAGCAAGTCATCCCGGGCTGACTGCCCTTAACTCCTCCCATGCAGGGGTGAGCAGAGGTGGGAGGGAGACATGGAGAAAGGAGTGTGAGTGTGTGTGGCAAAGACCCCAGGGGAGCAGAGCCACAGCTGAGGTGCAGCGACTTACAGCTTTCAAGATGCTGACAGCCTCCTTGCTGAGCCAGACCGGGTACAGGACGTCATCATGGAGGATGGACTCAAACAAATCGTCCTCGTTGTCGGCCTCAAAGGGGGGCTGACCGGCCATCATTTCGTACATCAGCACCCCCAGGGCCCACCAGTCCACAGAGGGGCCGTATTCCAACTCCTGCAGTATCTGTTCAGGAAATGGGCAACGTTAGGGACCACCAAAGATTCCCACCCTTGGCGACACTCATGCCACCGAGGCCCACGGGAAGGACTTCATTTCCAACCTGTTCCTCCTTGGAAATGAGCCCCGTTTACACATGGTGAGACTCTAAATCAGCGAATTCAGTTTAGACTGGGTTTGGAAGGCACCATCCTGGGAGCCAACTATGCCTCTCCAAAGTCAACATCGACAGTCTACCCGCTAGAGAGAACAAACTGTTATATCTTTGAGCACCAGATGAAGTTCCTGACTTGTATTTAGGGACACATTTTTTTAAAAATGCATATTTTGACATTAAAATCAGGGTCAGAGGAACACGATGCAGACCAAGAGAGACACAAGCAAGCTGTAAGTGACCGAGAGCACAGATGGCTAGGCTTCCTCTCCCCGACTCAGTCTGGGGGAAGCTTGCTGCCTGAGTGGAAAAGAGACTAGAACTTGGTCCTTTTTATTGGTGACACTGTTGAATTTACCTGAGCCCTGGGCTCCTGGAAAGGAAACTGCAGTTAATAAGTCTTTTCACCCTGTGATATCTACCCACAAAGGACCACTCTGCTCTGGCATATTCCAAGAAAAGACCCTTCGCTGTCGTTAGGGTTACCTAGTGTGAGACTCACCCATGCACCCCTCCTTCACCTGCCTCTGTAAAACCCCAGGCCCTTCCTTTTCTCCTGGGCATCCTCACCATGAATGCTCTCCTTATGCAACAGCCAGGATCAGATCATCTCCTTGATTGTCTGGTGAATGTTGTCTTTGACAATGGCTGTTTGTCTTATCTATGCGGTCTTTGTCTCTCTCCTTTTCTCCCCTCTGGCCAAATGTGTAGAATCAAATCAACTTAGATTAAATCCAAGTACAACAAGATGCTACTGAATACAAGACAAGATCTTTTCTGATTTGCTATTCTATTTGTCTGGTCTCCATACACACATATGCCATATATATATACACACATCATACATGCATATACAGATATCTACATATAGCACGTAGCAAGTCAATGATGTGTGTATATAGGAGACACACACACACAAACACACAAACATATGGAACCCAGATTCAACAATTTAGATTTAATATCACCTTTCAATAGTACAGAGCTTTGTATTTTGCAGTATGCCTTTATGATATAACATATATATCAGCTGGGCGTGGTGGCTCAAGACTGTAATCCCAGCCCTTTGGGAGGCTGAGGTGAGAGGATTGCCTGAACCCAGGGATTTGAGACTCTGGGATTATAGGCGTGAGCCACCATGCCCAGCTGTTCTGGTTGTTTCAAGATTGACAGAGGAGTTGACTTTGGCTTTGGAGAAGAACAGAACCACCAGCTTCTTGGGACAAGGGAGCCTGTAGCTCTGACCCTATAGACACTCTACACTAACCACGGGACTAAGAGACCAAAGGCACCCACCAAACAGATTACCCACCCCAAGTAGTTTAGGGTTGGCTGCATTTTCTCATATTCCTTTTCATTCCATATTCAGAAGATTCCTAACCTGTCTTTTTACTGTTTGCCAATGCTTCTATCACGTCTTTCTATTTAATCCCAAGCAATTATAACCTCTAGAAGGGTGTGTGTGTGTGTGTGTGTGTGTGTGTGTGTGTGTGTGTGTTGAAGTCTCATTCTGTTGCCCTGGCTGGAGTGCAGTGGCATGCTCACAACCCCTGCAGCCTCCACCTGCTGGACTTAGGAGATCCTTCTGCCTCACCCTTCTGAGTAGCTGGGACTACAGGTACACCACCACAGCCGGCTGAATTTTTTTTTTATTTTTTGTAGAGATGAGGTTTCACTATGTTGTCCAGACTGGTCTTGAACTCCTGGCCTCAAGTGACCCTCAGGCTCCCAAAGTGCTGGGAATATAGGTGTGAGTCACCATGACCAGCCTAGAAGAGTATTTTGAGTAGACCACAGAATGGTCAGATACTCAAGTTTAGCCTCCTCTTCCTTGGCCACCTGAAAATCTGAGAACTAAATTAGAGCCTTGTCCCGGGCCTGAGAAATTACCTGCCTGAGGTATCGCATGAGCTGGAATAACCAGGCAAGGACTTTGCCTGTTTCTTCAAGAACCTTGAAGTGTTCCCCCTTTCAGGACACACACTTCAGCTTTGCTTCTCCTCGATATGCTCCACTTTTTGGAATTCTTTGTAGAATTATAAGCCTGGAGAGGTCATTCCACCCACCCGCCTGTTTCTGGGTAGGGATATGCCTACTCCTACTGGGACTGATAAGAGAAAGTCGTTGTGGCTGGGAACATCACACCATCTCTTCCTTAGCAGTGGGGACAACTCAGCATCTGTTTTTCCTCTGAGCCAAACATATCATTAACCTGCCTATTTTTTTAGTGATATATATGTTTGTTTTTTGAGTCAGAGTCTCTGAGTCCAGGGGTTTGAGACTAGCCTGGACAACTTGGTGAGATCTCGTCTCTACAATAAATCAAAAAATTAACCAGGTGTGGTGGCGCATGCCTGTAGTTCTAGCTACTTGGAAGGCTGAGGCGGAAGGATCACCTTAGCCCAGTAGGTCGAGGCTGCAGTGGCCGTGAGCGTACCATTGCACTCCAGCCTGGGTGACAGTGAGACTCTGACTCAAAAAAATAAAAAAATAAAAGAAAGAGCCAGCACACAACCTAAGATACCTGCCTGTTCCTAAGATTTTTTATTTATTTTTTATTTTTTGAAAGCAGGATTTATTGAGAGGACAGAAAAAGCTCCCACAGTGGGAGGGGATCTGAAGGGGTTGTCCTGTTCCTAAGATTTACAGGCACTTCCCACATTCTACAGCATCATTTTTTAAAGGCCAGCGTCTCCCAAGGACCTCTATAAAGCCCCACACTGTAAGGGTTCTAGCATCCTTGTGAGCCCACCACCATGGCCAGCCCATCTACCACTGAGGAGATAGCCCACATCTGGTGACTGGTTGACACATGTGTACACTGTGTGTATCTTACTGAGTGTGCTCCCTTCTCACGCGGGGTGCTAAGGTGGCCATGGCCACCCTCCAACCTCAGGGAGGCAGGACAGCTGGATTTTGTGCCTCCACAGGCTGGGGAAAAGGTGGCTTTCAGGTGGCCTTTATGTGCTAAGACTGGATGGTGCTGTGGAAACTACAGAGCGGCCCTGCTCCAGGCCCCCTCCAGAACCTTCTCGCTTTGGGTGGCAACTTTTGTAAAATTCCTTTTAGGCCTGGCCCTAATTATCTGCTTCCCAATCACCTTGTCAGCAGTGGAGCTGGTGGGAAGCGCAAGGCTTCGCACGCCATGGGAAGGCCTGTGGTGTGGCCGCCAACCCTGTGAGTGGATCAGGGCTGGGATTGAAGAGAACAGGCATTGGGCCTGGTGATGCCAGGTGTTCTTCAGGGCCAGCGGCCACTTCCTGGGGAGCCAAGCATGGAGAAAGGAACGGGAGTGCCATGGAGTTAGCCAAGAGTACACGGTGGGAAGAGATACTTCAGGGCAGAGCTCGTGCCTCAGAAGGCATCTCTGGTTTCAGGGTGAGCCCGGAACCTCAGAACCTCTCCTATTTGAACAGGAGTGTAAGCTTTCCGAAGCGTTTTCGTGCTCTAATCTCATGCGATTCTCAAAGCAGCTTGATGAGGTGGGTAGGGCGGGAGATACAATCCCCATTTGAAAGATGAGGAACTTGAGGCTCAAAAACATGTTGTGACTTCATCAAGGTCACAGGGGAGCATTAGTGGTCAAGTCTGGATCTGAACCTCAATTCTCTGGATTGTGTGTTTTTCCCTCCCTATTACACAACCCAGCCATGATGATACCTTTATCAGTCGTAATCTGTCTGCAGTGAGACCAGAGATTGTTTGTCATGTCCAGCATAGGGGCGATTCTGCACAGGGGACACAAAGGACAGAGCGGGAAGGAAGAATGTCTGGGCCACATCATGGGTAGAGATCAGAGCTGTTCATTGTGAGTCTTGCTAATGGATTGCTTTTCATGAGAGCGGAGTGGGTGTTTTGTTCATCGTGAAATGACTGTTTGTCTTGGGCTACATCCTTAACTACTATACTGGACTGTCAACCCTTTGACTCTGGCATCAGCTCAGAGAAGGGCTGGCATTGAGTACTCTGACAATAAAGAATGAAGGAGAAGCAGGTTCCTATTGAAGGCTCTTGCTCTCTTTTTATTTATCCTTGAAGGCTGAATTCCCAGTGTTCCTGTTAGGGGAGCACACCAGTAGACAGACTGAAATCTGAAATCTCTATTCTTCAGATATCTCAGATAAAGATCCTAAAGAGAACTGACCTGTCATTTACCACCTCCACATCTAGATGCTTCTCAGGTCTCCCCAGGTCTTGTCTGGCCTGTGACTCTGGGCTGTCAGACCCTCATTCCCTGCCTTCTGGTTTGCACTGCTATTGCCTGTCTTCTTCCTGGGACAGGTCTGATGAGGGACCTCGTCTGCTTAATGGGACCACAGATCCTTCACAATCAAGGCCACGTTCCTTGATCCTTTATCCCAATCTTGTTCATGACCACCACGAGCACTAAGAAATCCTGTGTTCTATTTAACTCTCCTGAAAAAGGCCAAGATGTTTTTAGTCCTTGGCCTTTACTCATGTTGGACTGTCATGAGGTCTCATTTTCCAACAAACCCTTACTAAGAGCCTGATTTGTGTGCTGGGCACCAGGAGTCCTCAGATTAGAATCATAGGCCCTGACCTCAAAGGATTCAGAGCACAGAGATCTGGACCTCCTTTCCTGCCCAGCCCCCATTCCAAGCCTGTTGTTTTCAGGAATGCCCTTCCTACCCCTTCCGCCAAAGGAAATTCTTTTTTTTTTTTTGCAACTCAATTCAACCACCAGGTGCTCCAAGAAGCCTCCCCAGTTCCAGAGGATACCATCTTGTTTTATGTATCTATTTTTTCTACTTAATTAGCTGTTTACGTATCTGTCACTCCCTTTAGACCAAAAATTCCTTTAGAAAGGGGCCAGTGTCTCAGTCAATTCTTTACCCTCACATGGCTTTGGGTCTAGCAGGTGCTCAAGCAACGCCCATGGAAAGGAAATGAACTCTGAATGTGTTAACACCTATCCACCATGGGTAATTTTTAACTGGGATTGGTACTTCCTTTGCATCTTGCGTGTCTCAGAACCATCGAGATCATTTTGATGAAGTATCTATGACAGGCCATGCCTTAAATCTGGATCATGTCACACTAGGTATCTCTCAGTTTGGGCAAGGCTGACCTGGAGGAACTCAGTGCAAACAGACGCTTCACGATGAACAAAATATTCAAGCAACTTTCACGAAAAAGGTTCACACAGAACATCCCTATCTCTGGGTACAATGAGGCACGGTCACTCTCCTCTCCCTGCTCCATCCTGGGTGCCCATGATATAGAGTTGCCACGATACCAGAAATGGTGAACAGTTCCTGGTTTTACTGTAAGCAAATTACAGCTGATAGCGTTAAGTGCTGCCTTGGTCAATGCTCCTTCATTCTGGTTTTTAGGACATGAAAACAATCGCACAAGTCAACACATTTCTCTTGGTCCAAGTTTTCTTGATGGTTCTGGATGAGAATGGGAGAGTGATGTTGAGTGAGGACTCACCCAGATTTGGGGAAGAGCCTGTTACTCAGTTCACTCATCATCTCACCGACACTTCCTTATGGAGAAATCAGCAAACCTTTCATCTTTCCTCTTCTCTCTACTCTCTAGAACTTATCCTTGTTTTCTCAAGCCTTCCCCCATAAGCACTAGATAACCCCAGGGCATGAAGTGGGGTTGGACCCTGCCTCAGCCCTAGCACCGAGAGGAGGTGGCCCTCTGCATGCCATCTTAGGTCGGGTGCTATGTAGTCAGGAGTCCCACAGAATGTTAGATGACCCCAGGGCATAAAGTTGGAACCTACCTTGACCCTGGCAGTGGGATGAGGTGGCCCTCTGCACACCATCTTACCTCGGGCGCTATGTAGTCAGGAGTCCCACAGAATGTGGTGGTCGTCACTCCGTTCAGGATCCCTTCCTTGCACATCCCGAAGTCGGCCAGCTTGCAGTGGCCTTCTGCATCCAGAAGGATGTTGTCCAGTTTCAAATCCCTGCAAAATAGGTCAAGACCACATTGTGAATGCTTCACTCCCCTCAACGTGGTCTTCTCGAGTTGGAGAGATGTGAATATCCCGAGGAAAACTCCAGAAAAAAATGCCCTAAAGGAGGCTCGACCTGCCTGAAACCATCTCAGTCCAGGGGCTCTCTTTAGCCTTCCATGGTACCTCCATTCCCTTCAGCAAGAAGGAGGAGCTTCTGTGACCTCAGGATTATACCAAGGCTGCTGTGGTTTAATAGGTCAAAGTCAGTAGCTACTTATGGAAGCCCTACTATGCACTGAAATTCATATTAATCTGACCCTACTATGAGAAAAAGAAGCATCTATCTCCCCTCCTTCATGAATTAACCGCGGGGATTAGCTAAGGGGCCCAGCCAGACACCTCTGAACATCAGTGAATCAGATAAAACCACCTAAGAGTCAGAGATCGCATGATAGGGCATCAACTATGCAGGCTGCTGCATTTCAGAGGGGGATACTACAGACAACTGGTACAGGCAGTGAGAACTTCCAGGAAACAGTGCCCTTCATGAGAAGCTTGGATAGAAGCTAAGTTTTGGACAGAACATGAGGAGAGGAGGTGGGAGGGAGGGAAAGGTCAAAACAGCAGATGCGAAAAAACGAAAAACAAAACAAAACAAAAAAACACCCCAAAATGAGGAGGCCAGAGAATTGGGAGCCAGTGAACATGAGGCAAGGTAGGTATGTTGAAACCAACCTCGAAGAGCCTAGAATGCCAGGAAAAGGGATTTGAAATTCAGGCAGACAGCAATGAGTATCTGCCTGCATGAACACGATGCCCTTGCAGGATTAGTCTCTGGGTGTAAGCAGTCTGGGTGGGGACAGGAATAACTTGTTGCAATAACTTGGATCTACAGAGCCCATGTGGTTCTGGGCAGCCAGTGAGGGTCACAGAGGCATACAGCCTCAACCAGTGCAGCTTCCTTGGGGCCTGTTTTACACTTAGGGGTTCTGTGTAAAATCTGGGGTTCAGAGTAAGAATTCCCCTACCACCATGCCTGGAAACCCCAGGCCTGTTCCTGTAGAAGAACTCACACTGGACATAGGTCCCCACCCTTGGTTTCTCTAGCAGTTACTCGGGGCTGCTGGAGGTGAGGGGGGTCTTGCAAACAAGGCCCATTCTTCTGTACACAGAGAGCAGGAGAGTCCTGCTGGCGTCTGGACTTGAACTCCAGCCATCATCAGGGATCCAGGCCTGAGTGCAAAGGTGGAGCAGGAAGCACTTTGGGACCTGCCTGCATTGTCCCCGTGACCCCGTTTCCGCTTCCATCTGGGACTTCTTGAGAAAAAGAGAGCACATAAAATGTGCTGTTGTAAGCAAATGCTCGTGAACTACAGAACAAGCAGCGAGCCCAACTAAGCCCAGCCCCTGGGACTGGGCTCCCCGGCCCCCACCCTGGCCACTGTGTGTGGTCAAGGTCCAGCTCCGGCTGTGGGTGAGAGAGCAGTGAGGTAGACACTGGGTGAGGACATGTGAGGCCTGGATTTTCATCACCAGTTGTGGCTTGGCCCTAGTAAAGTCACCTTGCTGGTCTGTGACCTTATCTGTCAAATCAGGATGACGCCCTCCTGCTTGTAGGCTTGAAGGATTATTGAAAAAAAGTGCATGGAAGCAGGCCTTTCATAGTGTCATACCCACTTCCTTCATGAAGAAACTGAGCTTGAAGGAATGGAGGGTTCCTGTCTGCTCACTTGCAAATGTCTGCATCCTTGGGAGGCCATCAGCTTGGGCCTCACTGAGTTTCGTGCCCCTCGGCGCCCTAGCAGCCAGCCTTGCTGAACCCATGGCATGTACAAAGACAATACTAATCATAAAAGGAACAACAACTATGCTTCTGAGGTGTGGAGAGCACTTTACATTCACATTTACAACAGCGGCCACTACCCTTGCGGAAATAAGTCAAGGAAGCAGGAAGAAGGTACGTGATTTCTTTAAGGTAGTGAGGGGCTTGGTGAGTCTCCTGCCCTGAAGGTTTCTGTGTCCTGTCCTCCTCTGCCTTCTGGCCTTAATATTGGTTGGTTTCTTCCAGTGCTACCCACTAAGCTCAACTTTATATAAAAAAAACCCAAATGCCACCCCTCTAGGCCTACTCTTTTAAAGCCTTTGCTATGTCAGAGGAAGAGTGGTTCTAATTTTGTAGGAACGGGATGGGTTCAGATAAGGTCAAGCCAGTCTGAACCTCACCTCTCTTCTGACTCAGACTGCCAAGCTCAGCCCCTCCTCAGGGTTCCTACTCTTTTCAGGGAGGGCCACGAGAAGGTAGGATGTCTCCCTCTCCCACCTCCTGCTCTCTGCCTGCCCCTGCACTGGTTCCAGATGCACACCATCCCTTTGCTTGCTGCCTTTGTTTCTCCCAGGGGAAAGAAGGCCCAAGTATGTTCCACAAGCAGCACACAGCGGCTGCTCCCCACTATGGTCAAAGGAGGCCCTTGGCCAAAACACCTTCCTACCATCCTGCGATCGAGGCCTGAAGCCCACCACTGGTCACTTCCTCCAGTTCCTCCTCCACTGTCTGTATCTCTTGAAAAGTTGACCTCCCCACATAAAACCAAATCCAGGAAGAGTTAGGAACTTATATTCCTTTCCTTTGTAAAGGAAAAGAGATACCTGCACACGTATGTTTATTGCAGCATTATTCACAATAGCAAAAACATTGAACCAACCATGCTGCACATTGAAAGAGGACTGGATTAACAAAATGTGGTACATATACATAATGGAATATCATGCAGTCATAAAGAAGGACAAAATCAAGAACCTCACAGCAACTTGGATGGACTTAGAGTCTATAATACTGAGTGATTTATCACAGAAACAAAGAACTGAGTATCACATGTTCTCACTCATAAGTGGACCTTGAACAATTATTGTAATACTATAAGAAAAGGAGTGCCAATAGTGGGAAATTGCCGGGACATGGCTGAGCATGTAGTTGGTACTCATCAAATGTGTTGACTGACAGCTTTGCAAAGAGGGACTGAGTAGTCCTAGTCCATGGTACGTTAGCGAGCTTTGGATGTCTGATAGGTGAAAACAGTATCAGTAGATTCTTAAGTTTCTTTGTAATTTTGAGCATTTTTTCAGTCCTCAAATACAAAGTGTTTTCCTTTTGAGTATAGAGTCTTTTTTTTTTCTCAAAAGAGTAGGTTCACTTTTTTTTTTTTAACAGAAGGGGGAAAATCCAGCAAAATCCCTTTCCTTATATATGAGCCAGTGTGACTAGCCTTTACTTATTCAATTTATCTAGTCATAATTTCATTTTTTTCCAGTAGGCAATACATTTATGTGTTCATAAAACCAGAACGTATGAAAGGGAATACAGGAAGAATTCTCCCTCCAGCATCCACTCCCTAAACACCCCATCTCTCCTTAAAGGCAACTGCTTTTTATTCATTCCTTGTGGATTCTCTCCATCATACTTTATATATATTTGCGTTCCCTCTCTTAACTAAATGGACGTTTACTATATGCACCTTTAAGGATCTTACCCTTTGCCCTTGATCCATATTGAAGATCTTTCTGTCTTGATCTTTTTTGTGGCTGTATAATACCCCATCATATTTATTGGGGGCACATTTAGGATGCTGCCAAAATTATGCTATTATATACAGCGTTGTTGTGAATAACTTTGTACATAGGACATTCAGCACAAGTATGAGGTAATCATAAACATTTCCTAGAAAATAAATTTCTGAACCAGATACTACAAGAATGTGAATGTTGATGGATGTGGCCAAACTGCCCTCTTTAGAGGCCAAATGGTTTATACTTCATCTGCAATATATGACAGTGCCCGCCTTCCACATTCTTACGAACATGGTATGTTAGCGAGCTTTGGATATCTGAGAGGTGAAAACAGTATCAGTATATTCTTAAGTTTCTTTGTAATTTTGAGCATTTTTTTCATACATTTAGAAAGGATTTTTTTTCTGTGAGTGGTCTGTTGCTTATTTTTCTTTTGTGGTGTTTGTTTTCATTGATTTGCAGGAGCTCTTTCTATATTAAGAAACAAACTTTATTTATGATAAGAACCACAAATACTTTTCCCAGTTTGTTGTTTTAAATTTTGACATTGATTATAGTGGTTTTGCCATGCTGATATCATTGATTTTTATGTAACTGAATTAATATTTTATTTTGTGGTTTGGGGATTTTATATCTTAATTGGAAAGGCGTTACCCATTTCAGCATTATAAAAAACATTCTCCCTCCGAGTACTTTTACACTTTCATTTTATAAACATATATTTTTGATGTGTTTGAAATTTGTTCTGATAACAGGTGTGAGGTATACACATATCCAGCTTTACTTGTTTCCAGATACCTAATAAATTTTCCTAATCCCATATGTTGAATAGTTCATCCATTCCCTGCTGATTGAAATACCACCTTTATCAAATCGTGGTATGAAATCCCCAGGTGCACTTGGATTTTTTCTGTAGGTTTTATCCTATAACATTGCTCTATACCATACTCTTTTAATTAGTACAGGTTTATAATATGTTTTAACACCCAGTAAGGCTAGTATCCTGATTGTTTTTCAAAATATCCCAGCTATTCTTGCTTGTTTATTTTTCCATATGAACTTTAGAATCATTTGTCTAGTTAAAAAAAAATCCTGGTGATGTTTTTATTGTGAATAAGTTGAAAGATACAAATTAACTCAGAAGATTTGATATTTTTATGATGTTGAGTCTTCTTATCCATAATATTGTTTCTCTTTCCATTTGTTTGAGTCTTATCTGTGTCCCTTACGAGCATTTTAAAGTTCTCTCATATAGGTATCGGACATTTCTTATGACATTTTATCGTGGATTGTTGGTTGTTCCAATATCCACTCTTAATTTCTTCCTTTGTACGTGAAAGCCATGTGCACGGCCACACAGCTGTGAAACAGAATGAAAATCCACTCTTGGAGATGGGTGTGGTTCTGCGACTAGGTTCTAGCCAATCAGATGTGTGGACATCACC